AATGTTGTGGTGACCTCCCAACCATAAAATTATGTTTGTTGCAACTTCATAACTGTAATTTTGATACTTTGATGAATCATACTGTAAATATCTTATATGCAGGAAGGCCTTAGATGACCCCTTTGAAAGGGTTGTTAGACCCCTAAAGGAGTCCCTCCCTGACAGGCTTGGAACCTCTGTTCTAAGCAGCAGTGAAACATTTTTATCTTGTAGGGAAGCATAAGCTCAAGAGGGAAACAACTCAATTGCTTCAGGAAGTCCCTGACATATTCAGTAGGCCTCACCCTCCGCAAGCATATATGAACAATTTCCACTGCTGTGACACTTTCAAAAAAGATAAACTGGAAGCAGGGATCAGACCAGGCTCAGACCAACTGGGGTTCAGAATATTCTCCAACCCAATGAGCTGCTTACAGGTTGTGCAGTGTTTTCCAGGTTACCAGCTTCTGTGAGTCAGCATTCATTCTGGAGTGGGCTTCCATACTGCAGCTGTCTTTGAGTTATTTCTGATTCTCTAAGTAACCTCTCACCCATATTCTAGTAAAAAATCCCAATAAAACTCATTGGTTCCAAAAGTCAGACTTTGGTGGTATCCTTGCTTTGGTCTGTCTCCAGTTTTCTGTCTGGGCTGAGGAAACATTTGTTCACCTCTCCCCAGGAAGACAGTCACATGACATTTGGATGTGTAACCTGTTTATTCTACTGGTCATTCATTCTCCTTCTATCACCCCTGCCCTGACATCTGCTCTCACACTGGTCCCTGATAGGATGACTTGTTTCCAAAATATTGACCTGTTCAAAATCCATCACAGCATGGAATTCTTGATTACAGAAAAAGTGCATGTGAAAAAAAAAAAGGTTATATATAGAAAATTCCATATTCTGTATCAGATGCTAAACAAAATGACTATTAATGTAAAATTCTTACTTGATGCCTTGAAGAGACTTGAAGTGCCAGGATAGAGGGATACCCAGGAATCCCCACCTGCTCAGAAGAAAAGGGGATTGGGGGAAGGATTGTGGGGAGGGGTGACCATTCATCATTCTCTTGTCTTTTAGCCTCTGAGTGCTGGGATAATAGTTAAAACTCTCCATTTAAGTAAAGAATTGGCAAGTGATTTAGTCACTTCTGAATATCATTCTGAGAAACTTATCATAGTCACCTATAAACACAAACAGTCAGTGGTCTGCTTTTCTTTGGCTCTGTGTATGCATTTATTTTATAGCACAATGTCAGTGGACATCTGGAACAGCTGTAAAGTGCTTGACTTGTGTGCATGAATCCCTCCCTGGATATCACTGAAAAACCACTAATATTATGATGTCCAGTTCAGGCTAGCATAATTGTTGTCCTGTTTTGAAGAATTTGCTACTTATATTTTAGATTTTAAAGACTATGATGTAAAGTACTACATTCATTATATCATTATTATTTATTCAGTGATATGGGTTTTTGCTACTTTGTTTGTTGATGCCTACTAAGAACCAGCCCTCTCATAATGAGTTGGAAGTGAAAACAAAGCAGCCAATCCCAACACTCAAAAAGCATGCCAGCAGGACCATCACACTTCCTCATTAGTCTAGTGATTAGCAGGTGAAAGTGAGCACTCCCTGAAAAACACCCATGCTGCCTCGTCTTCTTCTGTTTCTCCATCTATAGGGTGCTTCAGGTACAGGAGTCCTTGAACAAAGGTCTGACTGATTAGTGCTACAGTATTGAGGGGTCCATTCAATCTAATAAATAGCTAAGCAAAGGTTATCAATCAAAACTAGCCTAATCGGGACGGGCAGAGACATAACAGTTCATCTGTAAATGAATTTCTAGATACATTACTATAATGTGAGCATTTATAAGGGGAAATGGATATTCAGAAAGACTTGAGTATGAGGCAGCATTTAGTCCTCTATCCAAAGTATCCGTTCAGTCATGAGTATTTTCATAATTCAGATTGGGCAATAAGTGGCCAATTTATTAAGTTCTTTACAACACTGGGCAGCTGACGACACTTTTCCTTTTATTCTAACTTTTAAATCTTTTAAAATATGTAAGAATCGAGACGGTACTTCAGGCCTGTGGTTGAATAGTAGCTAGCCATTCATGGTCCTTATGGGGATGGGGAATACCTGGACACCTGGAGATTGGCCTTTCTCTAAGCAACTCAGGAGGAGAAACCCTTTGCTGATGGAGAACAAAGCTTGTTACAAAGTAAAGACAGGCACGTGTGAAGATAGCCTACCTTCTGCATCATGGTGTCTCCCACAAGTCCTACAGGACGGGCAGTAATGCAGTCTTAACTCCTCAAGTTAGCCAGTCAAGGCCCATACTCTAGTACATGACACTTGGGAGGTCTAATCTCAATGGTCGTTTCAAGGTCTTCTATTTCTACACACAAAGATTCATTTTGTTCATTTCCTTTACAAACTCTGCTATATATTCTCTCTCTCTCTCTCTCTCTCTCTCTCTCTCTCTCTCTCTCTCTCTGTCTCTTCCCTCTACCTGAAACACTCCTTAGCTATTAAGTGGCTTAAGACTATCTCCCCATTTTTAGGAACCCAGCTAAATTTCTGGAAATTGGAAAGCCAGCCCCAACTTCCTTACTGAGGCTTTACCTTGGGCAAGGAATTTGAAACTCTGTTGTAACATTTGACTCCTCAAGATGGCACACCTTTGCTTCAATGATTCCTTATGTCATATCCATTTGAATACAACATCTCTGAAGGCAGGTTACTCAAGCCCTTAACACAAATCAAGAAAACATTTAATATCCATAAAACTGACTATTCAGATCTTCATTCAATCATTTTAAGAATCTCATTCCCCACATGAGAGAGGGAAGGAACTTGTAATTGGGGAGGAAGCCGATGGTAGAGTCCAGATCACAAATTATCTTCTCTTTCCCAATCCAGGAGCTCATGAGGGAGAGGGCCAGCATGGCAGTTGGAGTAACAAACCTACCCTCTTGGCTATTTGCCTACAGTTTTACTCAAAGTCTGACTGCTATACTGTATTGCTGGCAACGTCCGTTCTCTTCAATAACAAAGACTGCCCAGTTCAGAGTATATACTTGTGTGGCTAGGGGGAAAAGTGAGCAAAATTCCAATGTGATAAACAGGGAGGAATGTCAAACTCCTATTCAGCCCATGAAAAACCTACTCATGGTTCTGACTTTACTCCCTTAAGTATGGCGAGAGGGCATAGCTCATTTGGAAAATCTGACCCACAGCCCAGGTTTCAATACAGTGGAACGCTTTGTCCCTCTACTGCTCTTACCACACCGGGAACGTTCTATACATAATTATTTAATCCCCAGCCGAAGGCTAGCAGACAATGAAACCCCCTCAAAATGTTTACCCTGCTGAGGTGTTCAAGTATCAGTTTCACAGAAAACATTTTCAAAGCTTTTCATGTCATTTTTCCAAACCACCTTCTCAGTCATGCCTAAAGTATCCACATTTGAATGTTCCCCATCCTGGTAAAATATAGCCCTGTCCAACAGTTCACATCATTCAATCGTGAGACCTTTGGAGACAGAGGCAAAAGTTTCCAGCCTTGTTTTGTTTGTGATTTTAATCTCTCTCTCTCTCTCTCTCTCTCTCTCTCTCTCTCTCTCTCTCTCTCCCTCTCTGTGTGTCTCTCTCTGTTTCTCTCTGTCTCTCTGTCTCTGTCTCTCTCTCTGTGTCTTCCATGGCTTTGGGTGGTTTTGACTGTCATTGGTTGCTGTTGGGATTTTCATCCATGGCATCAGGTTGCTTTGACACCAGTTCCTACAGCCATCAATGGCTCCCTCTGAAGAGCAGTAACAAGGGAGCCACAACTCACGGGATGATTTTCAAGATAAGTTCTGCCTTATACTAATATTAAAGGGGTTATTATGATGGGAAAATAAGATATGTACAGTTACTGCCACTGAACTGAACATATAAGACACATTAAGGGGCTGGAGAGATGGCTCAGTGGTTAAGAGCACTGGCTCTTCTTTCAGAGGTCCTGAGTTCAATTCCCAGCAACCACATGGTGGCTCAGAATCATTTGTAATGAGATCTGATGCCCTCTTCTGGTGTATCTGAAGAGAGCAATAGTGTACTCATATAAATAAATAAATAAATAAATAATTTTTTTAAAAGACACATTAAAATGGTCAGTTTTGGCAACTATATCTTTGTACCAACCCCCACACAAAGTAAAGGCTGATTTAGAAAGCCAATGAGGTTATGTCAGGGAGAAAGGTCAAATAGTGGACCTGGGTAGAGAGAGTGGCTTTGACTTTCCCAACAGAGGTGTTAAGAAAACATTCCACCTTGATACTTTCCAACATGGGGTCTAGAGAGGAAAGGGGAATATTGTCAAACAGTTTGAGGGGGGAAAAAAGGGAGGTGGGAGGAGTTTAAGCCAAAGCCCTCTGCTGGTGGGATTCCAGAATTGCCCTGTGACCAACTGTCAGCAGTTTTAGATTGATCACCATTGTATTGGACTTGTCTAGAATGTGCTGTGTGCTGTGAATAAGTATAGATTCAAAACACTTGTTAGAATATAATTCCCCAGAGAACTGTTCTGATCATTTTGCCGTAGAACATTAAAAACAAACAAACAAACAAACAACAAACCTGTAAAACGAGACATGACGAACTGAGAGTGGGGCCAAATACAGAAAGAATTCAGCACTGAGCGGATCCATTTAATTTCAGACTGCTCAAAGACACCATATGGTGGATACTCGAGAGATCAGACAGAAGTTGAAGCACTGGCAAGAAATAGAAAGGCAGAAGCCCAAAGAAATTCATAGTTCGCTTGAAAACTCCTTCTAAGCAGTAAGACTTCCGGCTCACTGGACTGCCCTGGAGGTGTTTCTTTAGAAGGGCTTAGTGTAGACACCTGGGTGGTAAGGTGTCAAAGAGAGTTCAGAGAAATCCTAGAAAGAATGGAGGAGGAGGTGCATGCAAATCAGCCCGGTGCATTAAATTCAGGATGGAAAAGAAAGCTGGGGAAGCAGGATGCTTACCAGGCCACCTCCACAGGTGCTGAAAGAGGCCAGAGAGCCAGGATGGCGCAGCACTGTCCCGGTGTAAAAGCAGGAAGCGTCTGGTGGCATGGGAGGGCGAGGGTCAACCGTTGCCCTGGTGGGATCAGGACCTGGTTTGGGCCACTGTTCCACTGCGAAGCGCTGCGCCAGGAAGCGGCCATCTCTCCGGAGCAGCAGGTACAAGTCCCTGGAGAGGGCCGGGATCCGCAACAGCACCTCCTCCGTGCTGGGTTCCTCTTGCTGGGCAGGGGGCGGGGACGAGGGCGGTTGTGGGGGCAGAGGAGGCTGCCACGAGGCCGGGGCTCCCGAGGACAGGGCGGTATCCCCGCTGGATCCCCGAGGCAGCTCCTGAGATTCCAGTTCCTCCTCGTCCTCAGTACCTGGCTGCAGGGGAGACGCGAACCAGGGCTCAGAGTGGCCTCCCGCGGCTTCTTCCATTGGTGCCCTGGCCACCGAGCGCACCTCGCGCGAGCTGCCCGAAGCCTGCCCCCGGCCGCCGCCCCCAGCGCTGCGCCCGGATCCCGGGTCTGCTCTGCCCCCGCTGAGGCCCGTAGCGTTCGGCGACTCCCGGCTCCAGAGTGCAGGAAACACGATTTCCCATTCCTCGAGATCCGGGGTGAGCTGCAGCCCTGCGAATGAAGCAGATAGGTGCGGGGCTTAAAGCAACCAGGAACAAGGTCCATACAGACACCAGGAGCTTGCACGAAAGAGACCACCCGTCTAGCTCCTGAAACTCCTGCAAGCCACGAAGTCAGTCATACAGACCTTGACATTTTCAAAATAAAAGTGTGTAGTGATGATAGTTTAGCATATACTAACTGAAACCGGTGAGAACTCCAGCCTAATCTGAAAAGTAGCACATGGCACGCCTCCCAGTTTTCCTTCCAGGTACTGTAAACACAGCTTTGAAACATTTACTTGGGGTGAGGGGGTGGTGGTGGATCTTTTTACAGATGCTTAAAATAAGGCCAAAGGAAGTGTGCTTCGCTTGTGATCCTGACCTGCTCGTCTGCCCCGCAAGCTGTTTCATCGCTATCTACAGAGTTCTGCTCAACACGCACGGGGGTGCACCAGTTCTGCCTAACTGTACAGTGCCCTCGATCCGCACTGGCCAAGCTGGAGAGGAAACTGGAAAGTCATTCTAGAACGTACCTGAGATGGTCCCATGCGACAGGAAGCCTAGCTGGTAGAGGAGGCAGCAGCAGCAGCAGATGCGAGTCAGGCGCATCTCGGGGCCCATCTCCACAGCGCGCGCCTCCCGCGCGTTCCACAGCGCACGCAGCAGCCTCCCCGGAGCGCCGGCGGCCAGGCGGCGACTGTGCCCAGGCCCTTTGTCTGCCAGGGATGGGGGGGCGGGGGGGACGGGGGGGGGGGCGGGGGGGGGGGGGGGGGCCAAGCTGTGTGACTCCCAGAGCCCGGGCGGGGCTGGGGTGGGGAGGAGCGGCCGGCAGCGCCCCGGCTCTCTGCGCTCCAGCTCCCCGGCGAATTAGGTGATGAGTCGACTTTCTGAGCTCTGAACCGTGCAGGAGTTTTCAGGCCCAGTTAGAGCCCCGCGGGACAGACCCGCGGTCCGCCGAGTGCCAGGAGGCGTGGGGCGACAGGCAGGGCGGCCTCGGGACCGGCGGAACAGTACGGTCCCAGCCTGGGCTCGCCGCCCGCACCCGCGCGGAGCGTGGCCGGCGCACGAGTTAGGACCGCTTGCGGTTGCAGAGCTCTGCACACTCCCCGGGGCGCCGCGGCGCGGACAGGGGTGGCCGGAGGAGGGGGCGAGGGGAGTACGCGCTCCGCGAACGGGTGTGGAGCAGCGAGGAGAATCAGGCGGGTCAGACCAGAATGAGGGACCCCGGAGGTGCCCGCCAAGCGTGATGTTGCGGGACAAAGGTCCCAGAACACCGCACACGTGCTCACAGGCTGGGCAAGGGTGCTTGGGGGGGGGGGAACCCAAATTCCCTCACCTGACTCCTGATTGGCCATTCGGAAAGACCTAATTTGCATCCCCCACCCACCTCCTGCGGTCTCTAGGGGCTGTGATTTAGGTAAACTCAGGTAGGGGCTTTCTCCTTCCCTTACCCATCCTCCCTCTCTCTGGCTCCTCCTCTGTCCAGTTTCGCCCAATTTACAAAGCAGAGCTCAGTGCAGACTTGGGCATGGAGCTTCGGTCTGTGTACCAGAGTTCTTTGATTGGTCTACCCTTCCTCAGAACCAGCCCTGAGGTAATAAGGAGCATACTGATACAGGTTCCCAAGACAGACACCACTGAGTTTTCAGAGGCCTCTCTCCCACCTTTCCTTGGTTCCCATTCATCTGTGTTTCTCTCCTCTTTCTCCTCCACCTCCTGCCCCTCTTCTTCTTCTTGGAATAAAATTCTAAACCTCTTAGACCGGGTGAGAACACCTTGCCTCATGTGTTTGTGTGTGCGTACCTGATGTTTCTGTCCTCTTAGATCTCAAAAATTCCTCCTCCTTTGTTGCAGCCCAACTCTCTCACAGTCATAGAAACTTTCTATCCTATTCAAGGACGATAAATCCAACCCACTATTTCAATCCTCACTCTACACAAGGCCAGGCACCAAGAGTTAACGTCAATATGCTTTTTTAAAAAAATCGCTGAGAGTGACTTCCCACATTCTTTGTCGTTTTATTTCCTGTTCCTAGTTTCAAAGGTAGTAACTTTGCCCTTCATGGAGACAGAAGATTTTATTTCAAAGGCACTTTATTTGGATTGTTTGAATAAGCTTGGTCCTTGAATGCTTTGGTTAGCCCACAGTGTTAAAACGGACATGAAAACATTCTACTGTAGCAGTAGCAGTTTGCTACAATTATATCTATCAACCTGACCTTGTAAAGTCTGTAAAACCAAAGTAACTAGGGTGTGAGCTCTCGGAGACTCTCCTGGGAACCTGTGGCTTTCTTTCACAAACCCCAGTTATACAGGTTAAACTATGCAGAGAAAGTTGTTATTGAAAGACTGTAGAAACTATGCAAATTGAAGCTTCTTCTGCTAGAATGCAGGCCTCACGATATTTCGGTTATTAACTGTAACAACACGAAAATAAAGTTCCAAAGGAAATGCATATTAAATTATGTATACCTATTGGAATATGCTTGGGATTTCTTAAACTAAATGAGCTGTATTTTTAAAGTTAGATGTGCTAAAGGTCTAGGGCTGTCGGTGTCAAGTTCCCATCCCTACTTTGGTGCTTTCCCATGGTTAGAAATCCCTACTAATCCTTCTTGGAAGAGGTTACTTAATATTTAATAAATGCAGGGATGCTTACCTGCATCCCAGCCAGCTTTACTTCTTTCCATTGAATACTAGTACCACTTATTTTGTACATGGTCAAACACTGTTACAAATTAATTGGCATTGGAATGACTTGCTCATCTATTTCTCCTATCAAACTGTCAAGTTCTCGAAGGTCACCATGATTTCTTTTGTCTACCTTTCCACAACATCCTGAATAACTTAACGACCTATACTGAATATCAATTCTAATCATCCTGAAATGTCCAAGATATTATTTCATCACAATTTCAACTCCTTAAGCCTAGAATTGATGCTCGTTCCATGTGACAATCTACCACTATCAACTTGATGTGTTTGGCTGAGAAACAAAATAAACCTCAGAGAGGAAGGGTGCGTGGGAATGCCTGTACTCTAACTAGAAGAGAGTTTTATGAGTATCAGTGAGAGTGGATTTGATTTGTGTACAAGTGTGAAAGAAAGAACAAATCTGATTTAGTACTCAGTAAAGTATGTGTGGTGAAACGGAGAAGAGAGGGGAGGTCTATGGCATGCATGTCAGAATGGAGACGGGAGGCGGGGGAGACAGCCCAGAAATATGTTGATTATCTCAGGTTGCTACATATTTCACCAGACAATAGTGACAGTCAGCAAAGCAGTGCTTTTGTGTTCTCAGAGCAAGGACACAGAGGGAGGCGAGCTTGATGGCTCAGCTTGGGTGTAAGAAGATATTACTGCGCATGCGCACAAGGTGTTCACGTGTTGCATCTTATAGCCTGGGTGCTCTATATGTAGAGCCGACTTTCCTGCCTCCAAAATCTCTTATTCTCTTTCATCACTAGCTCTGTGCTTCTCACAGCATAACACTAACCTTAAATGCTCCCCTCTCTAGGAAGGAAAAAAAGAAAAGACTTAAAATCTTGAGAAAATACGAAGAACTCTTTTACTGAACTCCATGAGGGTTTTAGCTCTCCATAAAACTCACATCTAAACTGAGATCACAGCTTAAACTGCTTCTGGCCATGGTAGAATAGTACAGACCATATTTTAACTCAGACGTTGATGAATTAGACAAGAGTCAGGATGGAGATGTCTCAGCAGGTAAAGGCACCTGCTGCCCAGCCTGAGTGAGAAGGACCTAAGGTCACCCTTTGGATCCACATGGTAGAAGGATGGAATCAGCTTCTGAAGTCTTTCTCTGACATGTGTGTTCACAGATATGCAGACAACACACACACTTTTACACAAAATAAAGTTTTAAAATAATAACTAAAAAAGAAAACAGAAAAAAACATGTGTAACTATAGTTTCCAAGCATGTAAAGCACATGTAGTGCAGGGCAAAAGAAAGAAAGAAAGAGAGAGAGAGAGAGAGACAGAGAGAGAGAGAGAGAGAGAGAGAGAGAGAGAGAGAGAGAGAGGAGCACGTGAAATAAACCCTATAATTTCCTTAGCCTGACACCCAGAAACAAATATTCAGAACAGAAAGGAATCAACCAAAGTCCTGAAGGCTAGAACATAAGATAATGTAGCTAGAATTTACAAAGCAGAGTACCAGAAAAGATGGGCTTCAGAGAATACACCAGTTATACTGTTGAAGAGCAAGCTTAAACAATAAACAATTTACATTGCTTAAAACAATAAACATTAACAATTTGACAGATTGTAAAAATCCTAGGAATACTTGAACTCTGTCTTTCTGACTATGGGCCTCTAAAAGGATTGCAGCCAAACTCTAGGCCAGGACTATAGTTTCAGAACACTTAACTAGAATTAGAACTGTGCTCATAGATTACTCCATGCGTTTCTCCCATAGGGCGGCTGTGCACAGGTGTTTGCTGTCAGAGAGGGGCTACACAAAGAAGGAGCCGTAGTGTTTGTTTTATAACTTCAAGAGAAGTGACCCATCGCCTCTACCATAGTCTTTGAGTACCAAAGAAATCACTATGCTCAGCTGGAAGTCAAAAGGAAACATAGTAAAGAATTTTTTAACAAATATTTTAAATCATTGTTATTTTTCTCCTATCTTAAAGTATGTATTTTCTCTCCATGGGGAAGCTATATCTGTCCCTTTCCAAGATGCTGATGCTCAAAAGACTGATTCTACTGGGCGGGTGGTTCGTGTGTGTGTGTGTGTGTGCGTGTGTGTGTGTGTGTGTGTGTGTAACAGAGAGAGGGAGGAAGAGAGAGGTGTGGAATGTGTGTGTATGCATGTGCAAGTGCATGCATGTACTCATATGTTGGAAAGCTCAAACAATATTGGTTATCATTCTTGATTGCTCTCCATTTCATTTATTAATGCCAGGGTTTTTACTGTTCCCAGAACTGATCGATTCTGACCAATCTAGTCTCTGATCATCTAATTTCCAGGTGTATATGACTTCGCACCTCAAATCACTGAATTCAGCCTCTCACCTGGGTGTACACTGGAGAAACTTAAGGAGCAATTTGTTCAATACTCGTAAACCAAACTAGTAATGAAAGCAGCAGTTGTATTTCTGATCAGAAAGGAGTGAAGTAGAGGCAAAAAAAATGTGTCTGTAATACATGATTATATTATATTACATTATATTATATTTGTACATGTGTGACATTTTTGATACAAAAAATAAAATTAAAAATAAATCAAAAAGCAGGAAAATGGCACAGAAATAGACACATACACACACGCATACACACACACACACACAAATACGTACACAAACATACACACGCATATTGATGAAAAGCAGGTAGGACCTGTAATTTATTTAATACTATGTCATGCCAGTTTCTCAGTTTGATAAGCTAAGACTACAAAGCTCATATCATTGATCAAATCTGAATGAAGGGGCAGGAGATATAGCTCAGTGGATATAAACATTTGCCATGCCAACACAAAGGATAGAATTTGTACTCCTGCCTGCAATCACATGAAAATGTCAGGCACGGTTGTGCATGCATGTGACCCAGACATTGTGAGCCTTGAAGATCAGTGTCCAGGCAGTGAGTTTCTGAT